CGGAAGCGCTCGCGCCGCCGCAGCCGCCGCGCGCGGCACCGCCGCTATGTTCCTAACGGTGGCGGCGCGTAAGTGGCGCCGCGGCGAGGGGCAGGGGGCGTGGGACGGCGCTGGGGGCGGCCGCGCGGCCACGGGCGGCGGTCCCGTCCCCTCCCGTCCCGGCCTTCCCGGCCCGGCCTGGTCCGTCCTTCGCGTGCCGTCCCCGCGGGGCCYGCGCCGGGACTACATTTCCCAGCGCGCCGCGCGGCGCTGGAGGAGGCGGGAGGGAGGGAGGAGCCGCCATGATGGCGGTGGGCGCGAGGCGGCGGGGCGGGCAGCGGGAGCCTCTGGAGCCGCCGCCCGTTATGGGCGCGTTGGGAGAGCTGGTCAGGGCAGCGTGAAACAGCCGCGCGCCCGCGCTGGGGCGACGCGCTGCGCTGCGCGTGCAACGCGTTACCTCCTGCCCCCAGGCAAACGTTAACGTGATGCTCCCTGTCCTCCCAGACCGTCCCTCTGCTCGTAAAAGTGAGCCTTGAAGGGGGGGGTTGCGGAAGGGTCTGTTTTCGGGGAGTTTCGGGTGCTTTTTTTGGTGTAGGGAAATAGGAGCCAGGTTGGCAGGAGAAGTAGATAGCRGCGTGCGTGCGCTGGCAGCGTGCGAGATGGCAGCGATAAGGGCCCGAGGTGGGAGAGCAGGGGGAAGCAGAAGTGGAGAGCGCTCGCGAGCGAGGTTAAGGAGCTCGGGGTCGGCTGGGAAAACAGGAAGCCAGCGGAGGGGGAGCGAGGGGCCCGCGCGAGGCCCTCGAGGCCTGGGCCCTTGGACGAGCACCGGCACAAGAGGACATGGCTAGGCACCAAGTGCTGGCCTGGCCGGGCCACAGAGTAACTTCCTGAGGTATCACGGGCCAGATTAGGGCACTGGCGAAAGTTGGAGCTAACCTGGCCRGAATAATTTCATCAGGAATCAGCACCCTGCTGTGGTTGGGTGCCTGGTTAAGCAGACGCCTGTGTTGGCACAAGACAGAGGTGGTTGTCAAGCAGCTGGGGAGGGTAGTGGTGGGCGTCAGACCTGCTCGAGGTGACTGAAACATTTGTGTGCTCAGTGTTGTGGCTTTGTATCGAAAGGCAGGTAGGCACTGGTGTGCTAGACACTGCCCCTGCACAGGCGCTTTTAAAGGCAGGATGATGAAAGAGCGAGCAGGCAGCTGGAAGTACACAGGTACAAGGACAAGGGGATTTTCTTTTGTGATAGATTGTGCAGAAAAGATTTACTATCTGGGCTACTACGAAGGCAGAGTGTGGAAAACTCTAATCTTTTATGTTGCATGTGCAGGAAACAAGATAAGATGATAACTGTTTCTTTTCTTTTTTTCCTCCCTCCTCATCATGCTGCAAAAACCAGTGGCCAAGAGCAAATCTAAGTAAGTGCTGTTTAACTGACCAGTTTTTGATTTCTGCRACCACCTGTATCCCAAAGTGCCTTAGCAAGAAATTGCACCTATCTGAAATGCTTTAAGTGAGGCAGACGCAGTCCTTACCTGCGGCTGCCTCCCCGTGTGCCCCGCTGCACGTCTGCGCGTCTCGCAGGGGAGCGCAGAGCGCCGGGTGCTCTAAYGGCAGCACAGGCAGCATTTGTCCTGCTACAGGGCAGCCGTGCGTGGCTCACGAGTAAAACCCAAAGGGTACAACTGCAGGGGAATCTGTGCACATCTCTGCTTTCAYGATTAAAGGGAGGCTATGGGGTAGTTTTTTACTCTTCCTCTTGTTTAGCTTTCTTGCTTTGTCAGCTGGAGAGGGCAACAGAGGTATATCCTGGGGCTCCTTGTCCTTCGTGGGTAGGATTTAATGGCAGGTGCTTTGAAAGTTGTTTTTCTGATAGATCGACTTGAGCTTAACGTGTGCATGTTGATGCTTGAGGAATGCAAGGGCAGCAGTCAGGATTGTGTGTGTTGGGTTTTGCTCTTCAGCTCAGGAGAGATGGTAGCGGGCCCTGGAAAAAAAGAAAGTAACCACAGTTCTTTGGCCTGGAAAGTAAAACGATGTGTTTAAGGGTTGGAAAGGAAGTATATCTGTGTCCAGCACGCTAACCGTCTTAGAGTTACAAAGCTAATGTGCTAAAGTGATAAATACCAATACTTTCCTCACTTCTGAGTCTCAGAAGTTGCTTTTTTTTTTTTTTTTTTTGCAACTATATAGTATTTGGTACTTCCCTAGGAATCCTGTGACCTTTGGTACTTTTTTTTTGAACATTTTAAAAATTGGCCCGAGGCAGAATTGGTACTGACCATTGCTGCTTTTAAAGAGATTTTTCCGCTACAGGATTCCCACATAATTGTTAGTGTTTGAAGTTAGGAATGTATTTTCCAAGCATGTGTCTGACAGAGAAGAGAGCAGTTCGACATCTCAGCATCCTGCCGTTACCTGCTTTGCAGAAATGAGCAGAGCAGAAGGTTTCCTTGAGGTCTTCCAGCCCCACTACCTGCTCCTCCTTTCTTTCCTCAGATGTTCTTTGGGAATAAGCCCTCCTCTTGCATTGTTTTTCTTTTGTACTCCTTTAGTTTTTCCTGAGTTTAGGAGTTTATCCTGAGTTAGGAGTTGTCCTGAGTTTATTCTTCAGCTTTCCGCTGTTCTTTTTCTCTTGCGCCCACATTTCTTTCTGGGCAGCACATTTCCAGAGCAAGGCATACTATTCAGACAGGACTCAGCCTGGGGTAATAAGCATTTTGAGGGCTGGTCATGCTGCTGCCACAAGCCCAGARAGGGGGAGCGCTGCACTGAGAGGCTTTGGGGAGTGGGTGAGGTGCAGGGCAAGGAGTCRAGGAGGGCAAGCAGCAGGGTAACAGGTTAACTGTGTCTCCCTGCGAGGCACAGGCGATGCCACAGAGCTCTGCTTCTCCCTTCTTGCAGCGCAGCTGCCTCTTCCTCTCTGCGTGTGGAAGTGACAGCCTGTTATCTGCAGCCCGAATGTCTCCAGCTACTGTCATCCTGCCCCTCTTCCCATTATCTCTTCAGCCACAGTGACTAGTTGTCCGATGARTTCTCTCTTTTTCCTGTCTTCCTTCTTGTCTTCCTTCTTTTTTCTCCCCTTTGTTTTGTAAAGGAGCTCCTTCCTTCTGGTCKTCCATCCTTTTTAGAACTTGTTTATTTAAATTTGATACTGAAATTTATGGTTTGTTATGGAAACAAACATGTTATGAAAACATGTTATGGAAAGCTTTACAGCTCCCATCCAGAACATCCATAAAGCTGCAAGGAACTGTACTGTGTGATCGTGCCACGGGGCTGATGTTAGAAGTTCCTACATTTGAGAGGGAGCCGTGGCCAGGGCTGCGTGCGTGGTCGTTGACACAGAGCTGTTCCGTGTGGCTGCAGGTACGTGCTGGTGAGGATGGCCAGCGCGGCGGAGACCGGCTACTGCTTCAACGTCCGGAGGCTCCGGCTGCAGGAGAAGCTGGTCCTGCTCAGATACGATCCGCTYGGTAAGAGCTCGGGTTCCTTTGTAYGAGCGTCGCTGACGGTGCGGTGTAAAAGCCTTGAATGCAGCAGAGCTTTTCCACCCTGAACAGAATATGTCATACCATGTTTCATACTCGGGTGACTGCGCAGTGACAGCCTGCTTTATGACATTCCAGTGGGAAGTAGACATTGCCCTCATTTTACAGATTGTGGCACTGAAACAAAGTAGTGACTTGCCCAAGACATCACGGTGCCTTTRGTGACAGTCATGCCACATGTCAGTGGCAAAGCAGAGCGACACAGGAGGCCTTTCATTGCATTTCTTTGTGTGGTTTGCTGTGCCGTGTCACTCGAATGGGCGGCCTCGACACGTGCATCAATAGACACGCTCTGCGAGGCTGCCGTGGGTCCTCCAGAGAGGAAACTTTGACCATCACTCACAAAATGGATTCTTTTAGATACAAACACCAGTCCTCCCTTTTYCCTTTCCCGCAAATGATAATGTCCCAAGTGCCTGTTCTTTCTTGTTCCTCTGGTCCTTGCAAACTTTCTCACTCCAGGAATGGTTTGGTGGGGGCTTGTCACACTTGCCGAGAGTGCCTCTGGCTCACAAAGCCTTTTGAAACATGGCTCAGAACCCCAGTTTCTGGGGTAGGACCCAGGCTGTCGCTAACATCTTAAAAAAAAAAAAAAAAAAAAGCTAATTTGGGGAAACTTAAATAGAGTGGAAATAGCGCAGGCGAGTTAATTGCAAAGAAGGATTATTTATGTCTAGGGCATAAAGCTGCTCCAGGTGTATGACATAAAGCATGACCAGTGGTTATATGGTTCAGTTTTCTGCTTTTAATGTTGTGACCAACCTTTTATGTTCTGATCTAATAGGACAGGAGCTATACATCAGGTGAGACTAACTCCCAAAGAAGCAGCATGATTGCATCCATGTTAATGCTGACCAAAGGGGTTGCTCTTCCRAACTTTTCTGAACTTCACACGGAATGAGATCTGAGATCACTGGGATTATGCTCTTGAATTAGAGAACAAGTTTAAATTATTTCTCCCTTTAATACACAAAAAAAATGTGTGAAATGGTCCTCCAGAATTTTCTGTTTTAGGAATGCAAGGAGGATTTGGAGTTTACACTATGCAGTAGTTTACTGTAGAACATGGTGTGAGCTGTTCAAGTCAGTGAAATTAGAAATAATGAAAACAAAAGAAATCTCTGATTTTCTTTGTAGCCCATACTAGGAGCCAAGTGATGCATGTGTGAAGGAAAGTAAATTAGGGCCTAGGTATCAGCTTGCATCAGGACTATGTTAGGAAGCGTTTTCACTTGGCACATGTTTTCCCTTTGTGCCTTGTACTTTTTTTTGGCGGGGGGGAACAAAAAAAGGGCCATTGCAGAATGAGGCTTTTTAGTGAAGTAGTGGCAGCAGTGCAGAAGTTTCACTACCTCATAACTGCACCAGAATGCTTAGTAAGTTGTGGTATTTCTTAAAGTGAAACTTATGTGGGGGAAATATTTCTCTTTTGTGGATTCTCTGTGTATAGCTTTCAATAGAAATAATACAGTGAGGTTTGGTTGGAGCTTTGTAAATCTGTGTGTTGGTTCCTCTGCAGTCATGCATCAGCTATACCTGACCTGTAAGTGGTTAACTTGGTTAACATCATCGTCAGGTGTTGGAGGCAGGCTCGGTGGGTAGCTTATTGAGAAGTTCACGTGGCCTTTGGTTAACTTTTGGTACCTAGGACCAAACAGGTCCAGGTTGAAACCTGTAATTGTTGGGACTCTGAAGTCAAACAGTAGTAGAATGTGGAGAAAAACTATTTTTATCCCTATATTGAAGATCTCTGACTCAGAATAGTCACAGGGGGCAGCTGCTGAATATTTTGAGGCACTTAGCTTTCCGAAATTTATTTTTCAGAGGTAAAATGGACCTCTTGAGAACTAAAAATTACATGTGGTGATGTGAAAACACTGCTAAACTCCTTCAAGAGTTGGTTGACRAGAGCACCGTGCCAGTCACAGCTGCTCTATGTTCATTTCAGCAGCCACGCCAGTCAGGAGAAAGGGACGTGGGCTCGTTGAATTGCACCTGAACTCTTGAGGTTTCTTAACAAATTGCTCTTTTTGTCTCTGTTGGCCCCTCTCCAGCAAAACAGCGCGTCCTCTTCACCGAGAAGAGGAAGATCCGCTCGATGTGAACAGCGACTGGACTTGATTTGCGCGCGAGGAGGGCACGGCTGGAGGGAGCAGCGGCCGAAGGCTGATTCAGAAATCCTSCAGCATGGGCTGAAATGAGAGGAAATGAACTGGGATCACCGTCTCCTGTGACTTGAGAGCCATTGTGAATAAAACAATGTAGAGAGAGAAAATTCTTAATGTCTGGACATAGATCATCACAGTAACATTTATTTATCTTTTGAGTTATTTTTACAGTCCTCAATTAAAAAAAAATTAAATAGCAAATCCCATTGTCTGTATTTTCCATTGTGAAAGAGGCTGTAATCTTCAAAGGAACTATTGTTTTATAAGGCAATAAAAATTAACATTTTCCACAGCAGGAATTCAATGGCAGGACTGCAAGTTGTTCTAACCTACCGGCCACAAATTCAACAGTAGTGACCACACATTGGTGTCATTCCTTGGAGGGCTGGTGTTGTAGCAGTTCCTTCCTGGGTAAGGAAGGAACAAGGGGAACCTGGTAAAATAAGATGAGCTTTTGCAGAAGTTGGAACCAGAGTCAAAAGGTTGTTACAGCAAGTCAGGTAAGTTGGCCATATTTTGTATTTCTGCATTTTTGTCAAGTGTGAAGATAGCAGATTGTCACATTAGTTTTCTGATCACTTCTGCTGGTGTTTTTTCTTGAAATATCTCACGTTTAGAGCAACATGGCTAGAACGGTTTTTATAAAGCCTAGCCTAGAAGTGCTCTCGCACTTGGCCCCATGCAGGAGCCCTCCCCAAGACTGGCAGAACGGGGCACAGTGCTCAGGCCCATCCGGGGGGATGACAGTATCTTATTAACAGTTAAATTAAATTAAATTAACARTTTCTTATCTCTCTAGTAAGAAAGAAGGCCCTGCATGCAGCAGAGGAGAAGCTCTGTGCACTTAGGGGAATAATGCTGTCTCAGATCAGATAAAATCAGTACATTGAGCTRGACAATGTCGATTAGAAAAGGTCCTGAGGCAAGTCCTTCCTGTAAGGATATGAAGATTGTGTTCCTGGGGCCTGGACGCTCACTGATGCAACGCAGTTAGACTTCCTGATCATTTCCTCCATGGATAATTYGGGATAGTAAGCCAGGTAGAAGGCCAGCGCTCCCACAAAACTATCTCCAGCTCCCTAGAATAAAATAACAAACAAGTTTAAGTTTATTCAGAGAGGGAAGCAGTTTACTAGAAACATAACTTCACTCGCAGAGGGGAGCAGTTTACTAGAAACACAAAAGTTGCGGCACTTTTTGCTGGAATCAAGAAATGCTGCAGGAGTTGAGTCCATTTCCCTATTCTACACCTGGGAACTTGTGGGGTGCAAAACTAGTGCCACACTACTGCCTTGCCTTTCCTCCAAATGTTGAATCAGGTACACACTATAACGTGGCTTAAACTTCAAGGAAAAAAAGAAGAAAAGAAATACAAGTGTTTTCCAGCTCAGTTAACACATCGGTGTAAACGCTGCTTTTGAAACTTCCTGTTGTTGGAGTGCCTGATTCTGATTTCTCAACCTCTTCCATTAAATCTATTTTTTTTTCTCATTTAACTTCTGTTTTTCATAAAGGGCAATCATAGACAGGAGAGAGAAAAGGGGAAAAAATAAGCCATGTGGCTTGCGGTGTCTGCCGGTTCCTCGCTGCAGGACGATGCATTTTGGTGCCTCCCAAGTTTGGCAGCTCTCATTAGGGTGAGTGCCCAGTCCGGAGGTCTGTGCAGGGYGTCACATTCAAAGCCCTCATTCCCGGGGAGGCTCTGCCGCCTGTGCCGAGGGGTCACGGGAGAGGAAGGAAAGCGTCACCCGGCCTGATCTCCAGGCATGAGGGCCCTCTGGAGCAGCGGCTCCCSGGCCTCCTTGCCGCCTCCGTGTGTCCCATCGCCCTCGGCAAGAGCTTCCTCCGACGCCTTCCTAACGGCAGCTCCGTCCTGCTGCTCTGCAGCCTCGTTTGCACGACTGGCAAAACCCGCCGCGCTTTACCTGCCTCTGCGCCACCTCCGTGTCCTTCGTGCACACTCCAGCGTGCGCAGCGCCCTCCTTCCCCCCGCTCCCTCGCACGSGTCGTGATTTCCAACGCTGGACTGGCAAGGATTCCTGCTGCTGCGCTGAAGCTCCTTCTGAGGGTCCCTTATCCTTTCAATACCATACTTTTGCACCAGTAAAACACCAGCTCTGCTGAGCGCAGGGTGATAACTACCGATTTCACTCAAGAACCAGCACGTGGACTGTATCCCCCTGCACTTTATCTCCCCGGTGGTTCTCACTACCAGGGCTACCCGGCGGCCGCCAGCACCGGTTATCAGCCCGGGCGCCTGCCTGGGCTGCAGCTGCGGCCGCAGCTGCTCCAACAGCTCCCAGCCCTGCAAACACGAGCAGCAGCTGGAGGTTTTATCAGGTTCTGAGGGGCTTTTGTCTCTCCTCCGCCTTGCCCAGCGCTCCCACAGGCAGGTGACCGCGAGTTAAGCGGTGCCAGCGTCTCCTGTGTGACACACACGGCAAAAATCTCAGGCCCGGCTCGRGGTTGGCAGCGCGTGTGATTAATCACCGAGGCTCTTGTGCTGCTGCTGCACACGGAGGCGAAACACGAGCAGGCCGAGCCCTTGCACTGCAGGCCTAGCAGGAAAAGCAACGTCACCTTCCACGCCAAGTATTTCTCATGAAGCGATCACCGGATCAAGGAAGACACCGGGCATCATTTCAGTGAGCAGGGCCCCTAGTGCCTGGTGTCACATGGCCTGAACTCTATTTGCCAGCAGCACAGGACAGAATATTATCCTTTTGACTTTACTTTCACAGGACAGAATATTATCCTTTTGACCTTTTTAATTTTTATTTTTTGAGATACCTACCTACGACCCCACGTAATTTGTACACTGTTCTCTATCAGAGGACAAAACTGTAACTACACTGACGAGCACCCTTGTCCCAGCTCGCGTGGCAGCGGGATGGGCTTCCCGAGGTTCTCCCTTCACAGCTACRGTGCCTCTCTGCTCGGGGGTGATGCTCTGAAGATGTGAAACTGCTGCTGAGCTCCGGCTCAGCGCTGAACAATGCTAAATGACTTAAAAAAAAGGAAAAGGGATCAAGAGCAGACTTCCATGCGGAATGGAAGAAAACAGCTTCCTACTTACATTTTTTTGCAATTTTATTGCAAACTTACCCTGCAATCTTTGCTTTCCATACATAGTCTGAGCTAGTCAGACCTTATAAAGAACACCTACTATAGACCCCAAGAGAATCCCAGATTCAGGCTTTGATAAGCAAACCTTTACTGTGTCTATGGTATGGAGTGTCCTCAGCACAGGAGCTCCTGCATGGAAAACAGCTGCCTGTATGAGGCTCATTTGGCAGACGCCCGATTCGGCCCCGCTTCTGCTCCGTGCAGACACCAACTGCCCAACGGGACCTCACGGGCAAGGGCAGAACTGATCTGGCTCCAAGGCTGGCTGCAATAMGAACCATTTTCAGCCCACAAAAGCAGACCTTTCCTCTTGGTATTGTGGATTAAAGTACGTGGGGTTTGTTAAAAGGTCACTGCAGAACAGAAGGAACAACCTCTTAGAGCAAATAGAGATTATTCAGACTCTGCACTGGCAAACAGTAGTTTTATGCTTAGCTGTTTCAAAACCTGCTATAAATCCAAATACAACTTTGCAAAAGTAACGAGTTTTGAAAATGACCCATAAGATGCATTTCTTCTACTCACAAGCGRACACAGAATGGATACTACAGTCCTAATATTTTGCATTCTTCAGCCTTTATCTTCCAGAAATCCTAATACTTTGCAGACTTTGAGATAAYCCTCATACCACAGAGTGCCTGGGGACAATTCGTTTTGTAACTACAAAAATATAACTTATTTAACTTTTCTTTAAAGCAAGAGATGCTTGATTTTATGAAATAAAATAATGAACTACATAAAAATATGGTCTGATACAGTGTAGCAATTTCTAAAATGTAAATGTGGCAGTTTTAACTAAGTTTTATGTTTTTTCGGTCGTTTTCAAGACCTATTTATATTCTGTGCCACTAGTCTGGAAGGTCCRTGTTTTCCTCTGTGTCTGGAAAGGGGCATTTTTGTTTATCACAATCCAGCACCGATCAAGATCCTGTACCTCTAGAGAAGCGAAAACCCACGGAAACACTTCTATTTATCACTTCTATTTATACCTTAGCTTTTGTTAGTCCTGATTTGTCAGAAGCCGGATCACAACTTTAGTCTAACTATTTTTATACGCCGCCGCCCCGAGCAGCTTTTTAAGGAAAGTGCTTTGTAAGTGGAAACTGTATTGTTCAATGGTGCCAGTTGCAGCAAGAAAAGCATTTTTCTATCCGTCACACTCAGAGTAATAGGATGCATTTCCCTTGCACCATAAGGGAACTTGTCCGCCAGCAGAGGCAGGGCCGCGGGGCTGCATCCCGGCCGCGCTGCCCTTCCTGGGTGCCTTCCCGCTCCCTCTTCCCGCTCATCCTGCTCTCCCGGCAGAGCAATGGCAGGGATTCGGGCTCCCAAGGCCTGGCACTGATACCCAACCTCAGGAAGCCTGGCTGGGGTGATTTTCAGGAAGTCACAGCTCATGCACATCCTACGGATTCCACTCAACAGGCGGTAAGAGCCTGTTAACACCTCCTCAGAGAAATGGTGCACCGCAYGGCAGCGCGACACAAGCACCAGCCTTGCCTCTAAGCTCTTCATTTAGTGGATAAAACAAAACACTGACCCAAAYATCATGGGGAAGTGCACTCTAACGTAGAGTCAGGAACGTTTCACGCCACAACATTCGCATCAGCGCAAGAGGAAACGAAGCCTGCGGATCACTCGGGTTTATTTAGACTCGCGGTCTAAATAGAGGGCACTGAGGACACGGCTCTCTCGGAGGAGCTGGGCCTTGCAGAACTTCTCCTCTGTGGACATCACCCCATAGCACGCAGTGTGGGGCTGTGCCAGGAGGGCAACGCGGCCCGGCCCCGGCACCCTGCCCCACACCAACATCCTCGAGCAGAGGCGGCCGGCGGCTCTCCCGGGAAGCGGGAAGGCCGGCGTCTCCCTGCAGGAATCACCGGGCTTGGATGTGAGGTTGCGGGTGGCAGCAGCTCCAGGCTGCAGAACACCCTTGTGCCAACAGCGTCTGTGTTGCAGCTAGGGGAGAATTTCAGACAAATGCCCAGGGAGCGAGTGAAATATCCTTTGGTAGCAGTGGCTGAATCAGCTACACAGCTTTTCCTTTGGGCCTTTTTCACAATTTCCTTCTCTCTAAAACAGCCCGTGTTTATCCTCTATGTGCCAGAGAGGTTTTTTTCCTTGGAAAATGTTACCTTTTGGGTTTTTTTTGTTGACTTTCACATTCATTTGTCCATGTTACACTTTTTGATTGATTTTTTTGGCGCTTAACCTATTTTCTCCTTTTTTGTGCTTTCATTTCACCGGACATAGATTCTGGCAATTGGAGTTAGGGCTCAAATGACACTAGCACCACTATGCTCAAATTAATCTCTAAGCTTTCAGCCTAGCAAYGCCTAAACCAAGCAAAGGTGTCTGAGGTTCCTGATGCTGCTTGGAAAGACTCATGGATTTGCAGCTGCCAAAGGAAATACACAGTGAAAATCCAGAAGGGTCTGTGGCCTTCTGCTTCACCTTTGCCTTTCCCAATCCCATATGGAAGGTGTCCCATGCCCATGTCTAGGTGCTCCATCCAGGTGAAGAGCTGGTCCTTCCTGGTAGC